ATCTGGGGAGAAATAATCTACAACACACTTACAGGCTCAGCAGTGCTACACTTGCTAGCACAACATTTGAATGAGACCTGGGTGTCATGATAGACCACAAAATGAACATGAGCCACCAATGTGATGCCATAGCTGGCAGAGCTAATCAAACACTGGCATGCATCTACCTCTCTACCTCATGCATCCACCTCTCTACTTGGCCTTGGTGAGACTGCAGCTGGAGTTTTGCATCCAGTTCTGGGCACCGCAATTCTGGAAGGATGTGGAGAATCTCAAGAGAGTCCAAAGGAGGGCCATGCACATGATTAGAGATAAGGTCATATGAGGAGAGGTTGGAAGACTTGGGACTGCTCAGCCTCGAGAAGAGAAGACTCAGAGGGGACTTGGTGGTAGCCTGTAAGTATATCAAGGGCATAGATCAGGGCCTGGGAGGGCATCTGTTCACCAAGGCCCCCCAAAGGGGGACAAGAAATAATGGGCACAAGCTGATTGAGGATCGCTTCAGGCTAGACAATGGGGAAAACTTATTTACAAGTTGAGTGCTGAGGGTTTGGAACAGGCTCATCCTTGAAGTGGTACAGTCAACCACCTGGCAATCTTCAAAAAGCATCTTCACACCCATCTTGCTGGGTCATCTGATCCCAGCAGTCTTTCCTGCCCAAGTGCAGGGGAGCTGGACCTAGGATCTAACTACTATGAAACTATGAGGAAAAAACATGTCTGTTGTCCTTGTCCCACTGGAGCATTCAAGTTTGGAAATCTTTGCTTCCTTCTTAAGGAGTGAAGCTGTTTGTGATAGGTTTCATGGCTGGATGCAGATATCTCTTCCTGGTAAGTGACTATATTCACATGGTTCTGTATTCTGCTTGCTAGCTCTGTAATCCTAGTCTTGAGCTGTGCCTGTTTGCTACATACAACACTGGTAAATTGGTTCCTCAGTTTTGCAGAGAGTGAAGTACAGCTTGTCAAAATAAGTGGTATGGTAATGTAGAATGGAGTACATTAGTCATTTAGGTATCAGGAGAGCCCCTTAGGTATGATATTACTTTGCTTGCATCTGGTCAGAAAGAAGACACCCGAGTGTACCCAAACAAGATTTTTTGTGTAGAACAACTGCAGTCCATTGCATTCAGCTAAACATGGTGCCATCCATTAGCTGAGAGAGGCAGTTAGCTGTATTAGTCTGAAGACAAGGTAGTTTTACATTTAATACATTTAACTCTCTCCAGTGATCTGGGAGAGTTCTCCTTTGTTTGTTCTCCTGGTAAAAAGACTTACCCAGGGACACTTGAACATACATTTGAATGCTAAGCCCCTGAAGAGCACAGGGGTTGCAATGTTCGCTTTGTGCACACATCTCAGCATGATCTTCAGGCTTCCTTGGTCTGCCTGGAGACAAAATGGCAGCAGTATACTCAGCAGCCCTGACTGGATCAGAGCTGGTGTCATTCCCACAGGGTGCAAGGAAGCAAAGCACCCTGGGATGCTGGAGAACTGTGCTACGGCTTCTCTCAGAAGAAAATGTTTATCAATATTCACTCTCCCAGGAAATATTCTCCTGGGAGTGATTTAAACTTGGTTGTTCCAAGGTTATTTTTCTCACAGAGCAGCCATTTTTGCTGAACATTTCCTTGAACATTTGTTATTTGGTGGTTTTGTTCTCATTGTTTTTAATTTTATGCTTTGATATTGGTTTATCCCTCCACCTAGTAGTTATGGCACAAATGTGTTTAAAAAGAAAGGGAAAGTAGTAGAAATTGAAATCCAGTGAATGTATGTATGATTATTTTAACTATATGCACCAGCAGGATGGTTTATACACACATTACTGAGAAGTCCACCTTTAAAATCTACATGCAAATGGCAGTAACAAGTGGGTATGGGATAACAAACATGTGAGCAGCTCATAATGAAATATAGTCTGCATGTATTTCATCTGTTCTTTCACCATTGCCTCACATTTTATTTTTCAGTATGATAGGGTGGATAAGCAGCTTATGGTCTAGAAGTCTAATTCATTAAACAATATTAATAGCAGTAGTATTAAAGTCAGGCATGGTAGAGCTTCTTCTTTGGAAAAGTGGATGGGGAGTCTGAAAACTCTTCACATGAGAATTTATTTCTAGTTTTGCCACAATGCTCAGAGAGAATAGATAAATATACAAGGTTTTGCATGGTTATCTGAGTTTAATACAAACCATGGATATTTTTCAGAAGAAAATACATCTGATTCATTTTTTGAAACCTAGAATTTAAAATCAAATCAACACAGGTCTCTATAGAGATTTTTACATTCTGGCAACAAGCCTTTCAAATGTCAATACAGAAAATGTGAGAAGAGAAAAAATAAGTAAAATGAAGATATGTATACAGGCAACCCCTTTTTCAAACATATGTCATCAAAAATTAGTTTCACAGAACAAAAAAAAAACTTCAGTCACAAATACATTTGTACAAAGTAGAAAGTTTATTAATGGAAAATCATTTTCCTAGGAGGGAATTGCTAGAAAGAAAGATAGCATTGAAATACAATACCAAGCATGTCCTCAAAGATAATTAATTTGTCTTCATAAAGACACTTTATCTTTATCTTTCTAGAATGCTATTTGAAGGGTCAATAAACAGGACTTAGAAATGACTCTTTACTTATAATGTGAACATTTGAAAGGCATCCAGCCAAGTGAAGAGAAAACTATGACTACATTCAGAGACAGATCCAAAAGAAAATCTAATCACTTAACTATGTTCTAAATTGAGATGTCAACCTAGAACATGTATTCTGAAAATGGTACATAGCTGGTTAGATGCTTCAGGAAATGGTGAAGATTCACTGTTTGGTCTAGGATAATGAGGGTTGTTTTCATCTTTAAAATGGAAAGGCAGTTAGGTTATATGACCATAACCCTGGCACACAGGGTGCCTTGTCCAACTGTTGGAATCCTGGGGTGCCCAGGAGCGTAAGCCACATTTGGCTCTCCTAGGAACCAAAATGGGGCTTTCCAGCAGGGAGGGCACTAATAAATAAATTGCTTAATATTTAAATCACGAGATACTGGATACTTATTTACAAACACTACTAATGACCTTTATGCACAATGAATTTATACACAATCCCCAGCTCCTCCCACCACATCATGGTAGGTCCTTCATGGCTGGGGTCACCACACTGTTGGCAGCTACTTCCAGAACTGGGTCACAGAACATATTCTGCATAGCCTGAAAGTTATAAGTTAATGGTATAAATTAACTGTGCAGTACATCATCATCAGGGATCTGGGTTTTCCATTTCCTTCTGAAAAATGGAAAAAACCTGGATTTTCCCTTTTAACTGAAAAAAATGCATATTTTTCATTTTAACAGAGAAACATGCAGATTTTCCACTTTTGCAAAGACTTCTCTGCAAGCTGGCAGAGTTCCAGCTTGCAAGGGGCTGGAGAGAGTGGGAGAAGCGGGGTCAGGCAGGGGGAATCATGTGCATGTGCATGTTCACACGTGCACATGGCTGCCAGGCAGCCTGGAAAGTATCTCCCACACGTAAGTCTGGAGGGGGACAAGGAAGGATTGAGGGCCCCATAGAGACAGAGAGAGGAGCTTGGGCAGGGCTGGGGTTGCTGTCACTGCCCAGCTGGGGTGGTGCATGGGACTTGGGGCCCCAGGCTGGAATGCAAGACTATAGGGCCCAGGCAGGAAGAAGGATGGGGCTGCGGGTGGCTTATGTAAGGGGGTGGGGCCAGCTCCCCACCACTGCATGCACTCCCAGAGGGGGCAAGGGAGCACATGCCCCCCAGATTTGTGTGTGGGGTGGGAGTGGGCTGCCAGCTGTGGACTTGGGCTCCCTGCCCTGGGGCCTCTTCCTGGGGCCTCTGCAGCCCAGTGGGTGGGATCCAGCATGGCAGGGCAGAGCAGGGCGATGAAGCTTGTTGCTGCTGTCAGCCCTGTCCCACCCTGGTGAGGTGCCCCATGCCTGCCCAGCAGCAATGGGTTTGGAGGCATGGAGTTGTGCCCTTCACTACTGCCAGGTAGGGAGGGGGCAACTCATCATGGCAGCATGGGAATCCAAGCAGCAATGAGCTTCCCCATCCAGCTCCACTCTGCCCTACTGTTCCAGGTCCCACCTGCTGGGCTACAAAGGCCACAGGGGGAGGGCAGCAGGGAAGGGAGCCTGAGCCTGTAGTGGTCAGCACATGCCCCCAAATACTTGAGTTCTGCTTTGGCCATGTCACTCACAGAGGGGCAGGGAGCAGGGCTTTGCACTCCACTCTGCCACAGCAGCTGCCACTTCCCATGAACAGAAGCCAGGATTCAGGTGCTGCTGCAGGGGGCAGGGGACTATGGACCAAGGTCCCTGGACCCATATCTTTGGCAGTGGGGAGCCCCCTTCAGCAGGGATGGAGGAGAATGGAATATGGGTGGGGAGTGAGTGGCACCAGCAGGGCTGGGGACTACGGCTTGGGAGTGAGGGGCATGGACCTGTGTCCTTGTGAGTGAAGGAGGCAGGCAGAGCTCTGATTTTTCATGATAAAAAAACCAAAAATCAAATACCAAAATTTATAGTTATTTAGAATTTATTTTATAGTGATTGAGGCACTGGTAGACTTCCAAAATGCTTTAAAATTGTAAATATATCAATGCAACATGGTATTCAGTTGATGTATATATGTAAAATGGTGTTTCATTTTAATTGCAGAGTTTGGGTTTTTTAATCAGAGAATTTGCAATTTTTAAACCAGAGAAAACCAGGATCCTTGATCATCACATATAATACAACACATATTTGCCTCCTGTTAAAAAGAAGCTAGAAGCTTTACTAATAAGCTAGGGGCCTGGGGCTGTACTGTTTAGGAAAAACAAATATAATTTTATTAGAATCTGCATTAATCTGCTATATCAGAGTATGTATAAAAACACAAACTAGGCAAAAAGAATCAAAAAATGTCATTTCATTAGTCTTGTCATAAGACTTAAATCTATATTTCCTTCAGATTCATAAAAGATCTAACCTTTTTGAGCATCTACATCATTGAATGCTATACTGAATGTTATATCCACACCTGAGTTAATGTTCACTTCAGTTAACATTTCAATACCTCAGTTATGCTTCTAGCTAGAGATAAAAGCAGGGCTGTGAAATAGGAGCTACATTACCAGAAGCAGCTAATAGATAGATATAACAAAGGATTACTCATTTAGTGGAACCATTAAATACCACTAACCATTAGAAAGGAGAGTAAGACATTTACACTAGATGTTCCCAAACACTGGGATGCGGCTTGGTACTGGGCTGTGGCGGGGTCATGGCACGAGCCCCCTGCTCAGACCCTCATCTGTCCTCCCCTGCAAGCAGCTTCTGGGGTCACACCTGAGTTTCCAGGGTTAAAGCCAGGTGGCTGGAAAGCCCCAGGAGCTAGGCAGCCGACTCCATGCACCCCATCCCACTCCTGCTGGGCCATGGTAAAAAAAAAGGTTGGGAACCACTAATTTACACCTATGAAATGGAGTGTTTAGAAGGAATCAGGTAGGTTATAATGAGTCCAGCCACATGTGACCTGCTGCTCCTGATCATGGAGCCCCTGACAGACAGAAATTAACTGTCAGAGGTTCCATGATCAACCAGTCAATTGAGATCAACTAGTTGGTGACCACTGTCCTAAATCCATTAGCCAGTTACCATCAGGGATGGGTGGGTGGGGATGGAGCACTGCCACCCACTGTCCCGCACTGCTACCACCTCCCAGGAGCTGGAGGAAGAGGGGAAGCTTGCCCCACCATCCCCTCCTTCTCCCTCAGCCAGAAACCCCTGCCACCGCTGCCTCCAGGGAAGTAGGGCAGGAGAGGTGGGGGATAGCACTGCTGGCCTCACCCCCCTGCTCTGTGACTGCCGTCTCCAGCGGTGGCAGCACCACTCCACTCTGTCCCCTCTGTCCCTGCCATCATGGTGGCATTCTGCCACACCACTGCCACTGCCACTGCCTCCTGTCTGGAGCACTCTTGGAGCATTCTGATTGGTTGTTTCACTCAGCATTGTGATTGGCTGCTGAGACAGCCAATCAGAGTGTGAATAAAGTGTTACAGACAGACAAACAGACAGACTAAAGCTTTTATTATATTACAATTTTGCCTTTTCTTTTAGAAATTATTCTTCCATATATATATTGACTTGAATTATAATTCTGAAGAGAAATAAGAAAGGGTCACAGAATGAAAATTAAATATTTTCTTTGAGCCAAATGAAACATCTTGGGTTTAACAACATAAAATGTCTTGCTTTTCATTTTGGTCAAAAAAAACAAAAGAAAAAGAAAATACAAGAAAGAGGTCTATATAAAATATTTTTGTAATATTTTAGCCCTCAAAAACTTCATAATAATTCAAGCAATACCTCTACATAGTACTTTGAAAAGGTTTTTTGTGTAAACTTCAAACTACTGTTCACTAATAAGATGGGTGGTGGGAGTAGGGAGGAAGAGGCACCTGGAGCAGTGGTCTTGGGTTCCAAAATGACAAGGAGTGTACAAATAATAGCCTGCTAACTTCTGTCACTTCCCTATGTGCTTCTACCACTGAGAATGTAGAATTGCCCTGCTACACTTCTCCTATTTACCTTTATACAGCACTATAGGTCAGTGATTCCCAATTTGATTGCCACAGCACTCTAGGGTATTGTAAGAGATCTTAAAGCCTGTACCAGGGGCGGTGCAAACACCTACACATAATTCAGAAGATAAACCCAGAGATTTCAAATAGGAATTCATAATGCCAAAAATATTTTGATCTGTTGTTGTCTTTCTGAGTTCTTTGCAACAGAAATTGCTCTATTATTTTTCTGTAGTCAGAAAACAAGTGAAAGCTAAGACCTGGCATTTTTGATAGGTGTTTTGAGTCTAAACAGGTTGAGAATCACTGCTACAGGTAGACAACTAGACAAAACAATAAAACACCTTTGCAACCTCTCCAGCTTCAGTTCTCATTGCTCTGGCATGTTCTCCCACCTGCAGTGCAGCCCCCTCACCAGGAGGAGGCTTGCGCTCCCTGGGACACTATGATGGGATGCTGCCCCATCATGGCCCCTCTCCCCTCACTGGTCCAATGGCAGAGACGGGGGCATGACCAGATATGGACTGGCATAGCCCCCTGAGATGAAGGGGGAAGGGAGAGTGTATTCCCCCCTCCCTCCTCTCTCCCCCCTGGGGAACCCCAGCTGGAGTCTGCTGGGCCAGGTGTGTGCAGCAGAAGCAGTGGTCAGGGCTAGCAGACTCCGGCTGGTGGGAGAGAAGTTGGAGGGGGGAATAACCAACTCCTGCCCGCTTCACCTCATGGGGCCATGCCAGGCAGCATCTGGCCATGAGCCCACCCCTTCCACTGGAGTAGCAAGTTGGGAGTGAACCTGACAGGGACTGCTCCCCCCCAAGCTAAGCAAACTCTGGCTGGCATCCCCTGGCAGAGGGGGAAGAAGGAAGGGAGGTGGGAATAAACCCCCTCCCTGCCTCCTCCACCTCAGGGGGTCATGCTGGGCCAGCGTCTGGCCATGCCCCTTCCGCCTCCACCCCAAAAGCCTGGCAAGGGCTGATTTCCCCCTCTCCCTCTAGGCACACCCCAGCTAGAGTCCCTGCAGGCCAGGGTGGGGTTTTAAACTCCTCCCCAAACATATTCAGGCCTGCTGAGGCCTGGCAATGCCCCCTCCCTCAGCTCAGCTTTCCCCTGCCTTGGCCACTGAGGAAGGGAAGGAGGGACTTGCTTTAGTACCCCCTGGCTTCTGGCCTGAGCCACTGCAGACATGTACCTGCATTTCTGGAATCAAAAGTGAAAGTCTATTCACTTGCTTGCTGGTTCAGTATACACAAGTTAGACTATCCTGTAAAGATTGAATCAATTCAGGTTCTGTCTCTTTAAATGTCTGTACTTAGCCTTGAAGAGAGGATTATCAAGGTTGAACAGCATTAAATTGTGTCACCATTCCATGTTAAAAGTAAAAAGACAACAGAGAGAGCAGATTAGAATAAGCATCAAAATGCTGCTTGTAGTTTAAACAAAGGTCATAATTTCAAATGAAATTCTTACCTATATGCCTACCTATAGCTTACTTACATTTTCAGGTCAGCAATAGTTACTTATACCATTGTAAAAAAGGCAATGTATAAGTTATCCTCTATGTCTACTCTTAAAATGTATTCTTTTATTACATTATTTAGTAAATGGGGAGAAAAAAATGAAAAATGTCCTTGCCCATCATATTCCATCATAAGGTATGATGTTATTCTTATAACCAAAAGTATGCCATTCTTACTAAAATATCCAAGTAAACTCATATTGAACTTTTTCACAGTGCATAAAATAAAAATGCACTTACAGAGAGATCCATGAAAGTCAATGCCTTTGTGAATTTCCCTTTTTGGGCACTTCAGATGCTACCTATCTAAATGAGAACTTTAATTCTGCTGACTATATTCTGGACACCAGAGGACCATCAGTAAGATACAAACTAAAATCAACAGTGTCCATAATACAAAAAAATATTTTTTTGCTAATTGAACTTTACCATTCCCTCCAATCTTCCCAGTTTACTTAGAGGCAATCAATTATATGTCAACTTCTGTATGCTCACACAACTTCTCAGAAACATTTCTGATTGATTTTTTGTGTGTGGTTATTATCACTCATTACTTTAAGTATGAGACTCTGAAAAAATCCTTCTGTAAACACCAACCCCATACCTTGGTTCCTTTTTTCTATTTTATAAACTATGCCTCAACCTTATACTTTTTTCACTCTTTTGTGTGACAAAGGAAGATATGGTGAGAGTAGAAAGGAGAAAATTCTTTAATTATAAACAGAGATGCTGAAAGCTATATTATCATGGTATTCTCTCTTATAATTACAAAATGTTTTCCAATTAAATAACTAAAGACCAGACAGCAATTTCCTATCTAAACATAATTCTATATTACTGTATTAAAAACACCTTCAGGTAAACTTTCTTTGGTAATAAAAAATGAACTTTCCTGTAAAAATAAAATTTCCAAGCAGGGCAGAAATAGGTGCTCTATCCTTAGCAGATGAAAAGCACCATATCTGCAGATGGTTTAATCTAAACAGGTAGTAGCTTAATGAGTTTGTGTTGATCAATATGTAGCTACATTCCAGTCAACTCAGAACATTCCCTGAAGGAATCAGTTTTGTTTCTCAATGAGCAGAGTGGTTAATAAAATGCGTTCTCCACTTTTGATCATTTATACATTCACAAAGATTTCATTACTGGTGATTTCACCTACCATGTCAATGTTTACTTTCTTTGATGTTCAAGTCTTTTGTAGTGCCAGACAAGATCACTGAATTGCTGCTCTGTTTAAGCAAATGAAAGTTGCTGTTATAAATTAACTTAGAGTTTGACATTTCTCTAAATTTACACAGTGGAGCCAGCCAGGGATTCCATTCTTAGAGTTTTGATGAGATGTAGCTGCAAATGGCCAAGTGCTAGTAAACAGCACAAAATCTGAGGAGCCAGGCCAGATCCTCAGCCGGTGTAAATTGTAGAGAGAAGATTAAATGAAAATAGCTATGATAGTCTGCTTCAGCTAAGGTTGTATCTGGCCCTGTGTTCTTGCTGGTAGGATGTATGATCTTGTTCTCAGATGTTTGTGCTGAAACATGTATAGCAAATACTTTTCTGTGAAGAGAATACTATTTGTTTCAGAAGAGGCTGAGTAGGCCCCTTGGGTCTGTACAGCTTTCTGAGTAGACTGTGTATGTTTTATAATTTTTCATAAAATAATTTCTGTGAATATTTAGGAACCTAGAAGACTAGGTCCCATTAGTATGAACGGACATATTAGGATTATATCCTGCTTTCTTTCATACCCATGCTACTAATGAAGTTTATTAAGATTGTATGGGTTGATCAGATGCAGATATGGCTCTAAGTTGTGTTATTTAGATCTAGGTATGTGCAAAACTAAACACCCAGTTCATTTTGACACCAAATTACTGAAAGTATTTCCTTCCTTCCTTCCTTCCTGTAGCCTATGAAATAGCTACTGATATGGCAGTGATGATCTGCTGCATTTTTCCTTGCTGATTTAGAC